CTTTAGCAAAGACCCTTCCCCAGGTGTCCCATTCTCCTGGATACAGATCTGTCTTCAGTCCCTTCTCCCATACACAGACACCCACTCTAAGATCTGTTTTGTATTTTCCCTCCCTTCCCTCCAGGTGTCTTCCCCTCACCCTTCTCCTGGACACAATAACCCCTCTCTGGGCATTTGACCCTTTCCTGGGAACTGTACCCCGTCCCTGGGCATTTGAGCCTTCTTTTAGGCACAATATTCCCTCCCTAGGTATCTGACCATTCTCCAGGGCATAGCAGCCCCACACCCTAGGCATCTGACCCTTCCCCTGGGCTCGGGCTCGTCTTTAATACTGATTGGACCCTGGTTAAGCATTTTCTTGGGCCCTAAAAGGCAATAAAACTCACAGTAATGTGCAGTGTGTATGAGTATATCACAAAAACTGAGGCTAGGTTCAGATATGGGCGATCCCGGGACCTCGCGATTGTGCAAAATTGCTCACAGTGATTGCCCTGAGGCCCAATCAATGGGGTTACATCCGGGCGTCAATCACTAAAAAAAGATATATGTACCTTTTTTTGCAACACAGGACGCGCTGCTTTTTTAGCCGTGATCGTGTCCAATTGCACGGTCGGTATTTTGCGGTGGGAAACCTCACAATCTGCCTGGCGTGAAAATAATGGCACCGCCAGTGCGATCAGCTGCGGTGGGCTTTTCCGTGACCATGGGGATCGCCACACGGAATTGCCCACCACTACTGATCATGCTGATGGTGCTGTTATGCATGATTGCTGCACGGTCACGGATCGCCCGAGTGTGAACCTAGCCTGACAGTAATGTGCAGTGTGTATGAGAATATCACTAAGCTTCACAGCAACAAAACTCACAGTAATGTGCAGTGTGTGAGTGTATAGCAGAGCTCCACAGCAATACAATGCATATTAAGTTCCCGTTCACACCAATTGCGGTGCGTTCCAGAGCGGTAGCAGTGCAATCGGACATGTGGCATTGTTCCGGTCCACGGTGAACGCCAAAAAATAGAGCATACAATGATTGCACAGCAGGTGGGGGCGTGGCAAGAAACCACGAAAGGCCCCCCCAGCTCCCCACCACCCTGGGAAGGCACTATAAACAGGCACTGTGTGGTTAACAGGAAGGCTGCTGAGGTCCCCAGCAAGCGCGTGACCTCAGGCAGCTGCTGCAGTTTAAAAATTTAGTGTCTGTGTTCTGTCGAGAACGCCAACCCAGTACATTCTGCTTGACAGGTGTCATGCAGCACATTTTGCTTGACAGGTGACAGCTCACTTGTACAGCCTCTCCATCACCGCCGCACAGCCACCCGTACATGTCCTGCTTCTACTGCTGCGGGTGGCAGAGTGGCGGGGAAGGAACAGCACTATCTCAGGGGGGGTGCCCTCTTCTTCCTCTCTGAGCCCATCCCACGAGCCCCCCAATGGCCGCGGGCCCTCGGCCAGAGCCCGAGCGACCGAATGGTCAGTCCGCCCCTGGGTTAGGGGCTTTTCCCCATAGTTCTCCTTAGGGTAACGGGAGGACACAAACTAGCGTCCTCCCGTCACCCTAAGCTCAGTATATCGCGAGCTACAGCTACTGAGACGCCGCAGTATAACGTGAGCTCCAACAATTATGTCTGGATCCGCCCAGCTGCGTGAGTGACATCTGGCTCTGCCTATCTAGAGGCAGAGCCAGCTGTACCCCCCCCGTTCCGCCAGTCAGCGCTGGAGGCTCGGAGCGTGGGGAATCCAGCCCCTCCCCTGCAGAGAGCCGTGACAGGATCGAGAAGTGAGCGAACGCCGGTATGTGTTCGATCACTTCCCGATCTACTGAGCCAACCTATGACAGTCTCATTGTCACAGGTCGGCTAGAACTATGAGGTGAGTGAAAAGCACTCACCTCATAGTTCTCCTTTAACTGACCAAAGTAAAAATTGGATTAATTCCTTGCAGCATTGGTTCTGAAAGACTGGTGAGAAAATGCATGTAATGCAATGTATGTATCTATTCCATCTAAAAGTATATCAGTCAGTTGCTGTGTGTCAAAATATATTATATAGACTTTCTTCATGTTGTTCTGTGAACAGTATAATTGCTTAATACCTTTAGCCAGCTTTGTGATAACATGTATAGAACTGCTGATGGATCCAGTAGAATAAGGGCTGCAGTACTACCTGACTACATATTGGCTGACACAGGCACAAAATAATTTGGCAAATAATTTTGCAGCAAATTAATGTGTCCAAATCCATGTTTCATTGTATGCATGTGTATAGGAATATACAGGTGAAACTCGAAAAATTAGAATATCGTGCAAAGTTCATTTATTTCACTAATGCAACTTAAAAGGTGAAACTAATATATGAGATAGACCCATTACATGCAAAGCAAGATAGTTCAAGCCGTGATTTGTCATAATTGTGATGATTATGGCTTACAGCTCATGAAAACACAGATCCACAATCTCAGAAAATTTTTGGCAGTGTGGGCAGGTGCCAAGTCCTACTGGAAAATGAAGTCAGCATCCCCATAGAGCTCGCCTGTGGAAGAAAGCATGAAGTGCTCCAAAATCTCCTGGTAGACGGCTAAGTTGCATTAGTGAAATAAATGAACTTTTGCAAGATATTCTAATTTTTCGGGTTTTACCTGTATGTAACAAAGTAATATTATGTTAACAAGTTTAACGGGGTTAGTCACAAAGCTGCCGAAGGAACAACGTTCGGCTATTCACTATGGCTCATGTTCGGCTGAGCCAAAGTGCAGAAGGACGTCACGGCTGGCTCCGTCAAATTGTTATTGTTTAATAACAGTTCAGCATCCCCAGGTAATTTGGGGATGCTGATCTGTCATTACAACTGGCGGAGCTAGCTTTGAGATCACGGCTGGTTTCGCCCAGCTGTCATTTGGGGGCGAAAGGCCAGCCTTCGGCTGGCTGTTCGCCCCGCTTCGGCTGACACTTCAGCTCAGTCGAGCCGAGGCAAATGCCTTTGGCTCAGCTGAGCCGCTCAGCCACCTTCGGGTGCTGTAGGGCAATAGTGAATATAGGGCTCCCGCAACCAAAAGCTAGCCGAAGGATCAGCCGAAGCTTTGACTGAATCCTTCCGCAGCTTTGTGAATAGACCCCTAATTTTCTTTTCTAAAACTTTTCCTTCTTTTTTTTTGTGGCTACTATAAGTTTACTTAAACAAAAATTAGCTCTATCTTTCTATATATACAGGGGGGAATTGATCAAAACTGGGGAAACAGAATCTGGAGCAGTTGGCCATAGTAACCATGCAGCTTCTCTCTTCAGTTTGGGAAGACGCTGTCGTACGCTCACCCGAGTTGCACATCTGTGTGGGTGTCTGTGCTCGGATGCAGACAGGATCCATCCTGTCTGCATCTGAGTACGGACACCCGCACCCGCATGGATGTGCAGCTCCGGTGAGTGCACAGCAGCGTACGGCCGCGTCCTCCCATAGGGAAGAACAGGCTGCTGCGTACAATCACACGCAGAACCCGTACTTTTTGGGAATGGCCCGATACAGCCGTGCACGCTGCACTGATCTGTATGAGCTGACTCTAAGCTGTGTGAATGAGGCCTAAATCTCTTACACTCCATGTAATTGTGACAGAACTCAGGGCATGCAAGGTAGAGGCAAGCCTGTTTGTGAGTGTGAGCATTCATGTAAATTGGTTCGTATGTATATAAGACTGCAGATATATATTTACCATTTAACAATATTTTTAACATTACACATATATGTCGGCATTCTGGAATAGACAATCTATGTGGCTCTAGGTGCTGAAGAAGTTGAGCAGTTTTATATTATTAGTACTCTCATACACTGTTCAAAGATCACTAAGGACAGACGCATCCAGACTACCTTGGTCTAACCCCCAATCATTATTAAACCTACTCTAGGAAGTAAAGAAGAGAACTTTATACCACACTTTTTTTTACTTTAAACAGCAGTAATTTTCCATGTCTTTAATAAATATGGGCATTTGCAGAACAAAAGTAAAGTGATTCACCATTTTCTTGAAATGTTCAGAAACACAGCATGATTATAAAAGGCACCATATTAATTCTGGGAGAATTCGTACAAATTTCCATGAACATTCTCCCAGGCAAGCAATGCCCTTTAGAAGTTCAATGACTTTACTTATTATGGTAGAGGCTTCATCATACAGTGACCTCCATTCTTACTGAGTTCATGAACCAAAGAGGGTATACTCTCTTGCATGTTAGCCCTTGTGATAGTTCCTTGCGCACACTGCATCCTTCGTGAACACTTATGCTGTCAAGCACAGGTTATCTAAAAGAGAACAGATCACCTGTCAAAAGTAACAGTTTATCCACTATGGCCAAATGATGTTTTAAATATTTATGCTTGTTTGGCATATACGTTGATTGACAAGTATGTGAAAACCATAGAACACCTAAGATACCCCAACTGATAAATCAAAAAGTCTATTATTTATTATAGGGATTTTCTTCTGCTTCTCATTGCTTTCATCAGGCAAAACTTTCCTTAAGTGTTCATGTGTCCTTTTTTTCCTGAGACATCTTATGTGAGACATCTTGACAGAATGAGAATAGCATCCCCTTCTGAAACAAACCGCTGATGTAAGCCCTTGAAAAATCATATGCAATTTGTACTCCAAGTTATTGGTGTTATGGTTTCCTTATGACAATGATGACAAAATCATGATGACAATCATGATTTAGAAATAATGTACGTTAAGAAGAAAAGAAAACAATATTAACTAATCTTGGTGTTGAATAGCCAATGAGTGTCCAGAGATTGCAAGCGGCTGTGAACTGTACTATTTACCAACATAGTTGTGCGTTTCCTTGTGTACAATCTTTTTTTCACACATAAGGCCCCTCATGATAATTTGAATCCCCTTTTGCAGGGAACAGATCTTTAAAAATCCTTCAACTTTTTTGCTTTAAAGATATTAAAAGTTTCAGAATATAAAATGCAAGCAAGTTCATGACTGATATTAAAGGAAGACAGAACTTCCTGGAGTGAGGTGGACACAGTTTTTTTTTTTGCAAGTTGGAAAGACTGGGTCCCTTGGAAGCCTGAGATCCATTTGTCCTGAACCAGAGAAAAGGGCAGCTTCATCTTCATATTCTTATATGGAAAGTACTAGAAAGGAGAAACCAAGGTGAATATTAGTTAATATTCATATGAAAGCAACACCCAATGTCTCAGAGCTCCGGTGTCATACAGAAAGAATGACCTGGGCTTACTGAGCTAGCAAAATGACAAGACTTCATATAACTTCTCCCAATAGAAGGGAAGAGGAGACAAATGCAGAGGTCAACTACTACATGATAGTCCTCTACTTCAGCAATGTTATATCTGTTAAAGGTACTGCAAGAGGATGAATGCACAAGTTTACCATGTGTTTTTGTCAGTTGATACATTAATTTATAAAAGTACTTTTTTTTTTTTACTGTTCTGGTCCCTTTACTCTTTGCAGTCTATTGTATCATCAACCACATTCAAACGAAAAGAACATTTAAACATGACTGGTTTAGAAACTTGTTAGTGCTACCTTTTTTTCACATGGAGCTTTCTTCACAGGAAAGACAGCAAGGAGCCAGTAGTGGGTATATCTAGGAATTCCTTGAGGGTGCTCAGATGATTGGATAACCAAGCAGTACTGCCTGTCTGTCACAAAGGAACTCCTTTGATCACGAGCCTCAGTCAGATGCTATGGTGCTCTCTCTGTCACTGCACATTTCTATGCATTCATGTGATCATGTTTTTGGGAAATGTTTCTACATTCAACTCTGAACACATGGCTTCATGTAGAGTTGTAACATTGGAAGGAAGTGAAATTCAACATATAAGATGCAAAATAATCAATGAAAAATGATTTTTCTTGATTAAATGTTAAAGTAACACTAAACTCAGGAGTTAAACCTTCAAAATACATTCAAGTAACTGAACTATTAACAAAAATGTATCTTATTTGTGTATCACTCAGCTGTAGATCCTGAAATAATCTCTGAATTGGTGCTGACACTGTCCTTCCTTCTCTAGGGTGTGGCTACTTATGTTCCCCTGGTCCCCGTGTGTGTTGTAATGTAGTTACCGCTCCAAGCTCACTCCTGTGATGGACTACAATCTCACATATAGTTTACTAATGTCCATCATGGGAACGAGCCTGGAGCGGTCGCTACTTTACAACACACACAGGGACCACGCTGAACAAAAAGTAGCCGCCCTCCAGAAGGAAGGACAGTGTCGGCACCAATTCAGAGGTGATTTGAGGATCTACAGCTGAGTGATACACAAATAAGATACATTTTTGTGTAGTTAAGGTACTTGAATGCATTTTTCAGAATTAATTCCTGAGCGTAGTGTCTCTTTAACACACTCATATGGCAACTAAACTACATTTTAACAAAAATCATTTGAATTAAACAGTGTAATTCAGCAAATTTACCTTAAAAAATCTGGAGCTTTCGAAATCATATTCTCAAAGTCTGCAAATGCTAATTTGCCATCACCATCCATGTCAGCCTCCTCAATAACCTTCTCACATACCAATGTCACCTCCTCCTCTTCCAATTCTTCCCGTGTCAGCTTGTTGAGAGTTTTCTCCAGATCAGACTTACAAATAAAATTATCTGTATTGAAATCTGAGGCGGAACAAAAAAATACATATATAAGGGCCTTATGCTTACTAAGCAGTACTGCACAGCTGCCACAAGACATTGCATAAACGGAAATGTATCCTAGATAACCAATAGATTATTGAGACCTTTCTTTGAAGACACCCTTCCTACAGGCAAGTTGCAAGCAAAGCTTATATGGATCAGTGAGATCTGTGAATGTATAAGTATGTACACAATGACAGCCTTGACGCTGAACTCCAGCCTTACCTTCCACAGTTGTACAAGCTCCTCTCCTCTACTGAAATTGCTTACTCTGATATTACTGCATACTGTGAGCTCCTCACAAGCATAATCTAGCCCTTTCCTCCCCCAGCCTTACTGTCCCTGGCCCATCCCTTTTATTAGTTGGATTTCAGTTCAATCACGGAGGCTCAGTATCACATCCGTGGGCATTACCTAGGTCAGTCTACTGTTTTCAGGAAGCTATGTACATTCCCTCTCCACCAACCATGATCTGCCTGCTTAAAGATACACAGAGACCCAGAGATGACACCACTGAGCCTAAAATAAGATATTTAATTAAAATAGAAAGGTTTTATTTAAAAATGTTATTAGCAGCATGTAGATAAAGGGATGGGGGGGATATGGGAACTGAAGGAGAGCAAATGTTGGACAAAGCTTACAAGTGGTAGAGAAGGTGGCAAGGAGTGAAGGAGAGAAAGACAGGGAAGAAAGTGACAGAGCATTTTTTTCTTCTTCACTCATAGAAGGATGCCTTCTAATCCACCCCCCTGTGTACAGATATATGTTGAAAGGTGCACTATGAGATACTGCACATGCACATGTATTTGTTCCATAACCTTTACCATAGATCTTAAAGGCATAGATTGCTTTCAGCTCACGAGGAGCCATCTCACTCATCACAGAGAACATATCCACAAAATCATTGAAGCTGAGATTGCCCTCTCCATCTTCTGAGAATGCTTGCACAATTCTCTCCTTGAAAGGATTTTCCTGGAAAAAGAGAAAGAGGTCATTTTAGCTGTGTCATTGTGATGTATGACAAAACCATGGAGCCAATCCTCATCATCACATTTCAACCTAACACTTATTAATAACATATAGGCAGCAGTGCTAGCTAAGAGCACGTCACAAGAAAACTAAGCGTTAGGATGGGTAATGTATGTAGATCAGAAGACCAAGGTTTTAAAATATTCCTATATTCCTTACTTCCAATATTTTGCAGGCACAGTCTATAGATTACAAAACGAATGCCCTTGCTTAGTAGAATGTATGCCATAAGATCTCTTAGTCGGGTCAACCGGGGAATCTGAAATGCATTCACTGTAGGCTAGATCGCGCAATAGGTGCAAGTGACAATTAGGCATTCCTAATACCCGAACACCACAAAACCTTTGAGTTGAGCTAAATTACTGCACATGGAAAAATGTTTTATATGTATTTCCGTTTTATTGTTATTTGTTTGCTGAAATTTTTGTCATAGCTCTTTACTGCTTGGTGAAGGGGCAACAAAGTTATGAAGCTTTGCTATAAACTTATAAAGATGTTAGTACCTTTTCTATCTTTCTGTAAAGATTACTACACATAACCTCTTCACTAAAGCTTCCCGGAGCTATGGTCACATGTTTTTGGATTTGCATCATAAAAAGCATTATGTGGAACACTGGTATTTATGTTTCCAGCTCCTGTTTTCCAAGTGTCAGCAAAGTGATTCTTATATGCACAATTGACTGCATATCTATCATTGCGTGACATTTCTCTTGTCATCAGCAAATTGATTAGTCAAACAGGAAAAATGCCAGTCAATATACCATAACCTTAATTTTAACTACAACTACTACTGTTAATTTTCTCCTTGACTAACCACAGGATTTCCACATGGCCTTTATGATTATGAAAATATTCAGAGAGCTTAATGTTGCACAGTGCAGGCCTTAATAACACTAATTTAGGAGAAGAATTCACTGAAGTGTTACTTTCTTAAGACCAAGCATGATGAAGTAAGTCATAGTGGACTACAATGAGAGCAACAGAGGAGTGCTTGAGACTGGTGGCAGAGCACCTTATTGCTGGTTCCCTTCTGCTGCTGATCAATTGCACTCATCCACTGATCCTATCTACATAAAGAGGCCAAAGGCCAATGCATACATCTTCCAGATTTTCATTAGAAATGTTTTATTGTCACAGCTTACTATGACAACCAGAATGTTGTTGCAACAATTTCATGCCTCACTTGAAAAAAATCTGTCACCTAACTCTGAGTTACAGATAAGATAGTACTCCCCTAGAGATAAACAGAAGCTGATGGAAATTTTGGCCGAACCTTGACTCTAGGCTGATGGCTAATTCTGTCCTGCTGCACTGGTGGCTGGAGATATTGGTGATGGTGGAAGGACTCTGAACTCTGGCCTCTGGAGTGGGGTAGTTAGTTCTGAGTAAGTGGTACCCAGGCAACGTTGTGCACCAGGCAACGTTGAAGTATCATGAGGTACATATCCACCAGATGGAATATATATAATAAATAAATAAACATATATAACAATATATGGAAAATGTTAAATAAAAAGCATTTTTAAAAATCAGTCTAAAATCATAACTTGCATGGGGACAGGACTAAGAAGAGATCCTACTGCAATTAATCTGAATAAATCTTTCTTTTTTGTCATATGACTTTAGTAATCTGAGGTCTGACTAATATATTTGGGCTCCTGTATTTTGCACTTTTTATTTCACATATGCCTGCTTTTTAGAGTTATGGGAATCCAAGTATCTTAAAGCATTTTTGTTTCCTATAAAGATGCAATGTTTACTAAAATGGCATTTTATAAAATATATATATATAGTGATCAGTTTAGATACAGACAGTGCTTAGTGGAGTTCCTCTTTAAACGGTGATGCATTCTACAAAATCTGACATTAACAGATGCAGTAAATGTGAAATATAATATGTAGCTATTGTGATGCAAAGTTATCATGAAATATGTCTGAAATTCTACCTTTCCCTTTAAGTTTGAAATGTATGTCTATATGACATTAGCTGAAATATCAATCTTAAACTGAATCCCATTAATAAAGTTAATGGCTGCTTACATATCAATGGCATATGAATTCTATATTTAAAGTATTATTTTTTTTACTTCATTAATGGTAGCTAATATGCTCTTTTGATGCATCGCTTACCATAAGCTCAGGCATACTAATGATAAGCTGTATGGGCAGTTTGACATCTGGATCATCTGTATAATCCATAGGCACAATATTAGGAGCCAGATCATAAAACCTCGCGTGTAACCTGTAAAAAACACAAACATCCAATGTAAAACATAGATTTAGTTTAGCATAAAAAAATAAACAAATACTAAATATTCATTTGCTTGCTGATAAATTCTAAAAAATTCATGGTAATTGCAAATATAGTTCTAGAAATGATATATTATTATTCATTACTGTCAGTAGGCTATAAGTGATAGAGAAAGATACCACAATTCATACTTTTCTATCTGTCACCTTAACAGTGCTATATATCGTACACAAGAGAACCCATGTCTAATGTCTACTTAACTAGCCACCCATCCGGAAGAATTCAATACCAACAAACTGCTGACTGTTAGTCTCTTTGTCATCTACTGCCAGTTTCTGTAACATGTCCTTGAAAAGATACTTTCATTTGTCAGAATGGAATGATCAATAGTCACTAATGTCCCCACATGTTTTGGAGATCTATACATCATTCTATACATGGACAATATATTTTTGCTCAAAATCATCCAAAATGTTTCACTGAAAAAGAGAACCTTTCAACAAAAACTAAAATTCTCAGAGACACTAATAAATATTTCCCTCTCTTGGGCAAACTTCAGTGGATAGTTTTTTATTTTATTATTATTATACAGGATTTATATAGCACCAACAGTTCGCGCAGCGCTTTATAAGGAAGACATTACAATCACAATACAATTCAAGACAAGATGGTAAGGAGTGCCCTTCCCCTGAAGGCTTACAATCTAAAAGGGAGGGGGAAGTGATACATGAGGAGGGATCATGTTTTTATAGTGTCCCTCTGTAAAGTGAAACTGTAGTCCTGCTTGAGAGCACACACCATGAGATGCTTCTCCTTACCCAATTGGCTAGATAGCTGCCCTCAATGGCCACTGATGTAGCCTAACTGGTTTTGTATTATGGAAAAGCTTAGTGATGAATCAGCAAATAAAGTTAAAAATAAAGCAGAAAGGGGCACAGAAGAAACTTACAAAACAAGGACCTTGGCCTTGAGTGACTGTGTGTTCTTTTGGTTTTAGTCCAAGACAAATAAGACTAAACAGATGCCAGCTACAATTATCAAACATTTTTTGTACTGCTGCTGTAGACTAAAGTATAAACTAGGGATGCACCAATACCGATACTAGTATCGGTATCGAAGCTAATACCGAGTATTTGGGCGAGTACTCTTACTCGCCCAAATGCTCCCGATGCCTATCCCGATACAGGAACTTCCGGTATCAGGAAGCCGGTTGGCGAGTCATTACACGTATCTATATCTAGAGGTACATTTGGTACCTGATATGACCTGATACTTTATGTCATCCTGGTAGAAATTCTGTTTTAAAAGAAAATAATTATTTGCTTTTAAAATGTATTCACTTACCGAAGGATTTCTTTCCTCGTGAAGAAAGTACAATCCTAAAAGAAAAGAGAAAACACTGTATTAATACCTATGCAGTACATTAAACAAACCTCTTAGCACTTGGGACTTTTCAGGTGCTACATCAATGATACACATACATCATATCTTGCTTCAACATACCTCCTTTTGATTTGGCACATTGTTAAAAACAATATTAAAAGAACATCAATTAGGACATAATAAGTGCACATTATCACTTCCTTCAGAGTTTATCCACACACTGCTGTTTGATATTACCCCACCAATCAGCTGATCTATAAACAGTCCACTATGCCATCGTTCCACCAATAGTATGCTTCTCTCAATGCTGAATTTTCTGATTGGGCAGAAGTAGTATTCTACGTGTTTCACAGTGTTAACTACTGCTTCTTCATGAAATGTGGAGGATATTCATGTGCATGTGTGACCCAGAACCTCACCAGGAAGTGTCCCAATATAAGCCCCAGCCCATAAAAGCAGATAGGATATATTCAGGAGATTCTCTTTATCCACAGAATCCCCCTTTCTAAATGGCTTGTCATCCTTGGTATTGAATATAATATATGAAGCTGAATGTTAGGCTACCAGGTCTAATAACAAGACAAGATGCTGGGAAAAGACCAGAAAAATGGGCAGGCACTGTCTACTGGAGGTCTGTTGTAATGTGGTCAGAGAGGGAGGGTGCTCGTCCAAAGAAAAGCACAGGATGCATTTCCTCATGTCTGCTGCCTCTCAATTTCCCCACACAGAGTGCCTGCTGATTAGAGACCTGAATTTGAATTCTGTAAGTGAAATATTTGTGGCTAAACAGAAACTAAAATAAATTTTTAGCTTATTACAGTATTCTATAATAAGTTGTAATTTGCATGGCTCTTGAGGACGTCTGTTAAAGATGAAAGGTATTGGACGGGTGATGTAGCCCAGGATGAGCGTAAGCAATCAATCCTTAGAGCTGGGTGAGCACTAGTGCATTGTAAGTGTTTCTATTTTTGTTTTTTTCAACTTTTTAATAAAGATGTTTTTGTGTTCTGATGGTCTCCCTTTTCTGTTTGTTTAACAATCCAATAAAGTCTGTCCTGAGGTTCCTGGAGAGGCAAGGAAGCCTGTACTAAGCAGGGCTGTATCTGCAACTATTAAGAAAAAAACTATTTAAACTACTTATTAGTTTGAGCGTTCATTTTGGATCGGTAAGTCTGTGTCTATTGTGGAAGTGTGCTGGGGTGGAGAAGTGGACACCTTTTTCTCTGGGAGCAGGGATGTAACTGGTCACCTTTTGCTCCTTGTACTCTGAAGCTGTGGAAGCAATGTGGCTGGATCTTATTTTTGTGCTTGTTGTATGCATCTTATAATATTTTTATATTAGCATAACTGTTTCACATGTATTGGAATTTATGGTTTATCGGCAACTCTTCACGATTAGGTGTATTTTTTTTTTATACCACTCTATTTACTAAATATATTTCTCATATATGTCTTGGGTAATCATACAGCAGCTAGAGTTTTTATTTATTTAGTATTATAGTATTAGTACAGGCTAATATAGACTTTTATTTTATTCAAAATGTGTTTTTTTTTGTTGTGCATTCCAAAAATACTGTATATTGTCCATGCTATGGACATTCAAATATTTACATATTGTTATCTAGCAGTAAATGAACACTACAAATAGCACTGAGCTCTGTAGCTGTAGGCACTATAGAGCAATCCATCCACGTTCACCAGAGAAGCACTGGAGTTGTCCAAGAGGCATCTCTCCTCACCCTGCTTTTCTCTGTCACAGTCCAGCTCTGTGCTTACATTAGAGATTAGAAGGCAGACAATGACAGCTGTGGTTCTGCTGTAAAATTTGAGGATCAATTGCTCCACAGTGAATGCAGCTACAGTGGTCAGTGTAGACTTGTTTTAAAGCCCATTTATTACTTAAGAGTGTGTAAATATTTAAATGTCCATATCTTGGTCATAGTCACACTTTAACCCTTTTGCTGCCAAGCCCTGCTTAGCACTTTTGACCTCAGCTGGCCAGATAATTTTTGCAATTTTTCTCCTTTTTATTTTCAACTGCAGCTTTCAGAGTTTGCAAAACACCCCCGAAACCATACATTTTCTGGAAGCACAGGACCGGTAGAATAAAAAGAAGGTGCTACTAATTTTGTAGGTCCTAATTTAGTTGCACAAATGTTTATTAAATCGATATTTTCAACAAAATACACTAAAATCATTATCAGCGCACATAGAAAAACATAATTTACAAGATTCCTACTACATCTTAACAGGTATAAAAACTGTACTGAGTTAATAAATAACAAATATTTGTAAATTGTAAATGGCACCTTTTTGCGAAATGGTAAAAAAATTAGGGAACACAAAATTGTATATAAGCAATTTATGTTAAAAATATGAAGGTTGACCTCAAACTTATGTGCTGTGGTAACGTCTGATCTGCAGTGTCGTTTGTGCGCTGTGCTGGTGTGTGTTGGGATGAAATGTTGCAGGCATACATTTAATCGCAATGCAGTGTAGTAAAACACATGGCAGTGCTTTGCCATGCACTGCTACGCAGTTGAATTAACGTTATTTTAAACAGTAAAAAAAGTCAAGCAATACGATATGTTTTAACAATGCACCACACCGTATTTACACAGTGGACACCACATTATGGTGTGCATGCATGGTATGTGTGTGTGTGGGGGACTTTATTCTTTTTTAACTTTTTAATAATGTTTTTAGTTATTTTTAATTTACCTATTTGTATTTATTTATTTTTTTACATTACTGTCAGGGGCTTTGGGGAAATGTTGGAGGTCTATACAGGCCCCTGATATTTCCCTTTTGAGATAGAAAAAGAGATTGGGGACACAGAGTCCTCAGGCTCTTTTTTTTTTTACAGCCCCAGCACTCAATGAACAGAAAGCACTTAGTACAGAGGCTTCCTGTTCATTAACAAACTGAGGAGACATAGTATGATTACTATCTCCCCAGTTATGAATGGACAGGAAACCTCTGTGCTGAGCAGCTTCTGTCCATGAATAAATTGAGGAGATAGTAAGTTTTTACTATGTCCCCAGGCATGAATGAACAGGAAGTGATATAGAGCACTACCTGTTCATTACTTACCTGTTCATTACGTACCTGTTCATTACTTACCTGTTCATTATTTACAAACACCGGAGTGATCAGTAGTGATCACTCTGCAGTTTGCTCAGTACAGCAGGGAAGGATAAGCAAATATGTGGTTTTGAATGAATAGCTGCCATCTGCGTCTTGTCAGCCTTGGATGACAGCTATTTATTTACAAAGAACTATCAGGGGAAGCCTTCCACAATAAGCTTATAGTCGCTGAAGCAACCATGAGCTTATAGGAGAAGGCTAAATGCCAATGACGTAAGGCATACTCACCTGGCCAGCTGGAAAGGATTTAGTCATAATCTGACCGGCCAGGTGGGAAACTTTAACTTTGTATTCCATTGTTTCCTTTAGATAAAAGCCTGGTGGCACATACACAGCCAAAGTTTATTTATCTACCTTGCACTGATGGAAACCCTGTCCTTACCTGGCCACAATGACACCATGCCACAAAGCCTCCAAGTATTGTGTGTAGAGGAAGGCCGTATATGCTTAGGTAGAGAATATCAGCGCTTGCTTAATATTTACATAATCTCAATATAAATATGTCGTTTTATTTTCATTTTTCTTTAGTTATTTGTTGTCCATTGTCTGCGAATACTATAAATATACTGCTTTATTATTCTTAAACTTGCTGTTATCTAAAGACTACAGCAAATATTGTTAAGTAAGCACACTCAATCCAAATGTGTTTGAGCACTGGTTGGTATGTTGGAAAAATCTTGCAAGGGTCTTATATGAGTAACAGGAATTACAGCACTTAGAAGTGCATTTGGGGACATGCACTGTGATTTATCTGAGTCAGAACAGGAAGGACTTTGTGAATGATTAAAATATAGATTTATAGCTAATTTCCTTCCAAAATTTCATGATCCCTTCCAAAATCTGAAAAATGAGATGCAGCGAGAATTTCCAGTGACCTTAAAGGCAGCAGAGCGTTCATCACAGTACCCAGAAAGCATTACTCGAATTTTTAGGACAAACTGATAATCCTGTAAACTAAACTTCGAAAAAAGATTGTATTTATTTTGTAAACATAAGAAAGAAAAATATGCAATTCATAAATCAGTGTTTCTCAACCTTCTTTTAGCCATGCTACCTTTTAAAAGTAAATATTGCCCCCCCCTTCACATAAGAAGCTCCCTTGATATCAGATAAGAGTCCCTCCCTTTCACATCAGAAGCCACATTTACATCAGAGCCCCCCATCACATCAGAGCACTCCTTTTTCACAACTTAAGCCCCCTTATATCACGAGCCACTTTAACATCAGAGCCTCCACTTTAGCAAAAATTTGAAGGCACCCCTGACAAAGCCAGAAGAAACCCCAAGATGCCATGACACCCTGGTTGAGAAAGACTATTATAAACTGTAATGTAAATTGTTGTTTTTTTAAATAACATCAAAACAGTAAACTCCGCACTATCCAGCATTCAAACAACCGTTACTCTCAAGCAACTGGCAAAAAAAAATCGAGGACAGAATATGTCCTTGATTTTTTTGTGGTTGTTAAATAGTCATAGGGACACTAGAAAAGTTTGTTAGCAACTACATTTATTTCGTTGCTAAGAAAATTCTCTGTTTAAATCTTGCTGCTGGCCGGCGGCTAGATTGCGTGGTCGGCAGCAGAATGTATACAATGGGGAACAATAGCCAGCCTGCTATTGGCTGTTTATTAGCAGGATGGCTATTGCACCTGCCCACTGCTCAGTGGGCGGGTGCAATAGCCAGCCTGCTAATATTAGCTATTGCAATTTGAAATAGCCAATAGCAGGCTGGCTAAGAGTTTGCTGTATTACTTTCACTATTGTATTACTTTCACATGTATTACCCGTTCACACCTAGGCAATACATGAATGCGTGGCAAATTCATAGAAAAAAGTGTGTATTGACAC